CTGGTGTTCCAGAAGCGCCTCCTGCTGTCAGAGAGTGAATCTGCATCTCATTCAGAACTTCTGCTGTTTGTTTCGTTCAGGCATGTAGTATAATTTCACAAAGCTAGGCAGAACAGAACATTCTGTTTTAGCTTCAAATTGGGTTATTATTAAATTAAATTATGTATATAATTTGGCAAAAGCAAAAGCACTTTATTTGGCCTTCCGAAAGTAGATGCATTTAGGAATCTTTACCCCTTTAAGTTTATCATACCGTCAAAATCTCATACCGTCAAAATCTCATACCGGCCCATGCCTAGGTGTGGCTGTGACTCCGGGCCGTTTAATTATTAGCAAAATAAGGTGGTAATGTGGCCATGACGCCATAGCCAATATTCCTTAATTAAATTGTCTTTCTCCATTCTCAAACAAGTGAAGAACTACATTTGATATTCAATGACTGAATGCAAGCTGAACGAGTTTGCAGACAGAGAACACTGTCTGCAACGGTGTCTATGGATTACATTTTGTTTTGAGTTGGTAATATTATTTATTAAAATGGGGCATCTGTATTGCTTATTATGATCTAATGTTTGATCTTTACATTGTCCCCCATTCTTTGAACAAAAATTAATAACATTATTCATTAACAAAACGAATAAGACAGATAACATGATATAACGTACTTGTGTGTAACACAAATAAATGAAAGACCTATGGATTTTCCCCTTACTTTCAAATGAATGCTTGGTTTTTGGTTCATTATTAATGAAAACACAAAAACAATAAAATAGTACAATAAAAAACCCCGCTTATATTAAACAAATTTTTATTAACAAAATGAATAAGTCATTTGACATTAAATATCCTTGTTATTATACAAATAAATTAAGGTATTTGGATTTTCCCCTTTAAAACGAATGCTCAGTTTGTGGTTCATTACTACTTTAATGAAAACACAACAACATTAAAACAAAGACAAACTATTGACAAACTATTTGTCTCCATGACAAGATATAAAACCATGAGCCAACAATAATCTCTATTTAAAGTAAAATGATCCCAAACGTAACTACGGCGTGCTCTCTTCATTTTATCAAATGATCATGATCACATCTATTAATTTTATGAAAACATATCCTACTACTAGCCTTATTGTTGGACAATTGTGATCTCTATTTTAAACAAAAAATTCTTAATTTATCCAGAAATGTTGCAGCTCTAAGTAAAGTAAGTGAATGTGTGAAGCGCTCAGAAAGCATCACTTTAGCAGAAGATTCACTTGATAAAAGCATCACAAGGTACTTGGCAAGAATCAGGATTAGTAACAGTGCAAGGTTGTGGGAAAAGAGCTAAAAACAACCACATAACTACATCTCTCGCTCTCTCTCTTTGTTTTTCTTGGATGAGTGGCAGCTTTATTCTACTGAAGGAATTTCATTGGATTGCAGCCATGACTGAAAGTTCATAATAATCCCTGACGAAAGATTCATGACTGTAAAGTCAAGTCCTGTTAAAGGGCTCCATGGGTTTTAAGGACTTCTTTTAATTGACACTAAAACATCAAAGAGATAAGCCCCCCTCATAAAGCGATTTTAGAGTATTGATCCGATACATTATTCACAAAAAAACTGGCTTAGAGCCACACAGATACAAGCCGAAAATAACTAGCCAGGCTGGCCTGCAAATACTAGTTCCTATGACAACAAGTACACGTGTGGACCAGACAGGTTTCTGCTGAAATAGAGGGGGATCTCTGTATGATTCATCTTACAGAGAACAGCCTGTAGAGATACAGGAGGCAGGTACTGAGGGCCACATGAACTCACAGTTACAGCGGTCAGGTCATGGGGAAGTCTTTAAATGTCAGCCGATTATGTGCGAGCATGTTTTACCATAAAGCCCCACCTTTCAGTTAGTGCTTCTCTGGGTTACAATTGGTAACCACATGACTGTGGGTATTTGAAGCATGAGCAAAGCAAAACTGAACTACACAAGAACAGGGAAATAGCTTAGTCAAACAGCAGCCATGAAAAGAACACCAAATTAACAGTGGGGAACTGCATGCTCTAAGCTTATCTAATGGGGAAGTCGTGGCCTAATGGTTAGAGAGTCGGACTCGTAACCCAAAGGTTGCGGTTTCGAGTCTCGTACCGGCAGGGATTGTAGGTGGGGGGGAGTGAATGTACAGCGCTCTCTCCCACCTTCAATACCACGACTGAGGTGCCCTTGAGCAAGGCACCGAACCCCCAACTGCTCCCCGGGCGCCGCAGCAAAAATGGCTGCCCACTGCTGTGTGTGTGCACTTTGGATGGGATAAATGCAGAGCACTAATTCCGAGTATGGGTCACCATAATTGGCCACATGTCACATGTCATGTCACGTCACTAAGCTTTTGTGACCATCATGTATCATTTTCTGTCTTTTTTTAATCAAAAGATGTAGTCCGAGCACAAAATATAATATAAAATTAATCTATATTCTAATAATCTTTACATCTAAATCCAAGGTACAGTAAAAATACTATCAAATGAATATGTACTATTTGTAGCCCCTCAGAAATAAGCCAGGGGAACAGACCAATCAATCGCAGAACTATTAAAATATGAAAAACAGCACTGAAACAAGCAGTGGGTGGCTGGAGAGAGATCATGATGCTGGGAGTTGTTCTGATGATGTTTATATGTTGTATCAAAGCTTGACTAACCTCTGCAACCTTTAGAGGAACTCCATCGCCCAGTACTTCCCTGTAGAAGCATTGCTGGGTCATATACACAGACAGGCCACTGGTCCTCTTGAAGGCATCTCGCAGACGTTTGAGCTCCACATCGGTAACTGTGAACACAGTAGGAAGTTGTCAAACAGGTGTACAGTATATGAGGTGGTCATTAATAAAAATGACTTTAAAAAGAGGTTCACTGTGTATTATACTAACACACAAGATATTGAAATGCCACCTTTTGTCTAAAGGCCTCTTCACACCAAGTTTGATGCCTTATTTACATCTGGTATTAAATGATGCTAAATATTCACACAGTTTCTAAAAAGGAAGGACTGAATATCAAAAAGAAAAAAAACAGAATAATTTGTTAACATTTGAATTAATCTATATATATATAGTTTTTATATATATTTAGTGTTTTTAATGTTTTTGAAATAAGTCTCTTATGCTTCAAAAAATACAAAATCTCACCCCAAAATGTTAAGTGGTAGTGTATATTATTATAATTTATTATTAAAAATATAAATAAGCAAGAAAAGTAAAGTGAGAAAAATCAGGACATGATGCATGCCAGATTCAAACTTGACTCAGTGTAAGCATAAGGCTCTTTGTCGTCCTCAAAACCGACAACTTCGAACAGTATGATATTTCCGAATTGGCATCAAGCGGTTCATCATTTCATTTACTGTACTTGTTATGCAGTTTTTCCATGCTGAAAATTCATGTTTGGTGCAAACGGGCCTTGAGCCTGAGAAAGGTAGCTCTGACTGCTGAGCAAACTTCTTATAAGTCAAAGTCATTGCCATCTTTTCACATTTCTCTCCTCTAGCTCAAAACATGTTGAGTTATGATGGCAGAGAGGGACTACAGCCAGTGCTCTTTCATATCTCTCTCACACGCACACACACTCATCCCTTTTAAAACATCACTGCCTCTACAGCCTGTATTTAACCCAGACACTTACAGGAGGCCATTGCTGCTTCTCGCCATTCATAGCCTTGTACTGCCTAGCACAATACATCACAGACCTGCTCATAAACCACAGCACTGTTCTATCGGACCCATCCATAACAGGGTCAGGGCCAAGAGCAGAGGGACAAAATATGATGTTTTCTGCAAATGGGATATTTCCAGAAAGGCTTTCTGACAGAACAGTCTTTGACTTTGAAATACCACTAATACAGACATCCAATTCAAGTACACTTAAAGGGATAGTTCACCCAAAAATTCTGTCAACATACCATCAAGTTCCGAAACTGCATAAATTTCTTTCCTCTGCTGATATTATGAAGAATATTTACATTTACATTTAGTCATTTAGCAGACGCTTTTATCCAAAGCGACTTACAAATGAGGACAATGGAAGCAATCAAAATCAACAAAAGAGCAATGATATACAAGTGCTATAACAAGTCTCAGTTAGCTTAACGCAGTGGAGTTGTGAAGCATGTTCCGAAAGAAAGGGCCTGATCTTCTTGAATAAAATATAATTATTATATAATTATTATTTTTATGTAATAAAAATATTTTGAAGATGGAAAAAAATACTATGAAAGTCAATTGCTACAAGCAACTGTTAGGTTACCAACATTCAAAATATATCATTTTGTGTTCAACAGAAGAAAAAAATTCATAAAGGTTTGGAACAACATGAGGGTGAGTAAATGATGACCAAATTTTAATTTTTGGGTGAACCATCCCTTTAAGAATGCTTGGATTTATCCGGCACATAGTACATCCACAACAAAAGAAAGCGATAAATGCCACTCCATTGTAATAACAGTTGTTAGCATATCATTGAAGTAGAGCGACTGTGACCCCCCCAAAAAAAACCTCTGTTCAGAGCAGAGCCATTTGAGGACTGATGTACACTGATGACTCAATGGAGTTGTCACTGTATGGAAGCTGATGCTTTTTTTAAATGAAAAACGGGTTTCAAGTGTGAATACACATGAATAATTATTTACATTTTACAATTATAAATCTTAAACACACAAATCTTGCGTTATTTCAAAACCACTATGTCACTGAAAGTAATGATAACTTGCGGTTCACTAACTGAGTCAAATGTTGATTCAACATCCGCATGTGACTGATTCAGTGAGTTCATTTAGTGACCAATTTGTTAAACTGATTCAAACCTATAACTCATCAGAATCACTTGTTCGTAAATCGGACTACACTGGTTGCACTGTATGTTTTGATTAATAAAAAAGAACTAGTTAATGAGTCACTGTCATTTACACCATCAAGGCAAGATGAAAGTTGGGGGCTTCATGATGATGGCAATGAAGTTCAGCCTAAGGTTAATTTTGTTTGGTTGATCAGTGCTCAGCATATTTATTTATTTATTTAGTCATTTAGCAGACGCTTTTATCCAAAATAGAATAGAAAGTGTTAGAGTTAGAGGGTCAAATAAAGCATATGTGGGCATGTCATTGTGATGTGACTTCAATGATACCGAAAATTATTATTATTATTATTATTATTCATATAAACCCCCAAATCAATATTGAGGATTTTCTTCCAATAGTTTGTGCATCATG